TCCCAGAATTCCCCAGCCAGCATGGGAATTCTGGGAGTTGAAGTCCACACATCTTAAAGTTACCAAGTTTGAGAAACACTGTTCTAGAAGTATTAATATGGAGAATCTTCCAAAAATATGGTCCCACCTCTGCAGTTTGAAGTGATAAAGGGACAGAACTGAGCTACCTCAGTCTTCTGATCTACATTACATTCTGTGTGATGCTCAAAGAAGCCTACTGGTCATTCATTAAACCATACTGTTAGTCAATAAGAACAAATACATTTTCATGATGCCATCACTCACACAGTGATCCGAATGTTTAGAATTTCTTCTCCTGATGGACAAACTCAGACTATGAGGAGGTAGAGGATGTGGAAGAAAGGAGACAGGACTTACAGGTGTTTAATCCTTGTTGTTTGGCACCCCTTGTGCAAAGAGCCTTTGTTCCATGAGAAGAGACAGAAAGAGCGTGGATAAGGAACCTGGATCCTCAGCTGCTACTGAACTACAATTCTTAGTAGCCCCATCTAGTATAGCCAGTGGTGAGGATTTGTGGGGGCAATAAACCCAGGTACTCCAACCTTTTAAAACAGAAATCGCTTGCTCTGCAAGGTTTTGAAAAGTACAGTAATGAGATAGTTTAAAAAAAATACAATTCCAGTTACAGTCCCTGATCAAGAATTCTGCAGATGTAGTTGAGAAAGCAATGCATTTTAAGATATCTGATTAGTCAAATATTTCACCTTGAGCTGAGCCTACTTTATTAAATATTCAGGATAATGCAAAAGCAGGATGTTCATTGGGGGTGGTTGACACCATGTCCTTCATCCCACGATTAATTAATTCTTAACTTAATCTCTTAACTTAAGAAGGATATTGCTCAGCCATAAATGGAGTAGAAAATTATGGGAAGGACCAGTAACCTTTGCAACATAAGTAAGTGGTGAGCCCAAAAAGATTAAGAAAGGGTGCTTCAGCATTTAAAAAGATTTGACAGCAAAAATTACCCACAGAGCCACCCACCCTAAATCTTTATTATGGTCTTAGACCAGTACAAAGAAGATAATAAAAGCAATAAGAAGAGTAAAAACAATGGATCCCATTTGCCCACCAGTCAGAAATAAAATGCACTAAAGGGGCCAGGTATAATGTGATGTGGAATTACCTTGGGAGACAGGAGGGGGAGTGACAGAGAAGACATCTGTCATGTAAAAGATGTCTCAGTCCACAGAATGAGGGATGGTGTGGGACACGTTTCATCCAACCACAGGCTAGAATACAAGAAACAGTCAAAACCATCTAAAGTCATGTCTGGAGTCATGGCAACTGGACTTCTTTTCTTTTTGGTAGAGACATTTCGCTACTTGTCCAAGCAGCTTCTTCAATCTGAAGGGACTGAAGAAGCTGCTTGGACAAGTAGCAAAACA